GCACATATTACAAGCACATATTAGTTCACTTGTTAATTTTTTCTCGAGCTAAAAATTTGCAATATTCTCCTTTAAAGTGACTCGCAAATTTTTTCCAAGGTATGCACATTGTAAGTGGCAAGTTTTCCTCATCTCTTTAGCACGAGTACAATGTACTTACAGTATTGATAAGAAGTACTGTACAGGTGCACACATGTAACAAGCGCTCCAGGTTGGCAGAGATTTTTGATTCAATTCCATCAACTTGCTTTGTTAAAATCAGCTTGTTGTATTCAATGCATTAAGTCACTGATTTATAATAGATTTAATTTAACTGTTTAAAGTGTCCACCTCTAAGTTTTATCATGGTGATGTGCAGTGTACAACTATGCAATTGGATTGAACAACTGCTTAATCTCAGTGTTGTTAGGATGAGAAATATTAGTCATGGCAGTATGTACATTAGTACAGTGAGTGTTCAGCAAGCCCAAGTCACTTCTCTAAATAACAAGCAGTGAGTGTTCAGCAAGCCCAAGTCACTTCTCTAAATAACAAGCAGTGAGTGTTCAGCAAGCCCAAGTCACTTCTCTAAATAACAAGCAGTGATTGTTCAGCAAGCTCAAGTCACTTCTCTAAATAACAAGCAGTGAGTGTTCAGCAAGCCCAAGTCACTTCTCTAAATAACAAGCAGTGAGTGTTCAGCAAGCCCAAGTCACTTCTCTCAATAATAAGCAATGAGTGTTCAGCAAGCTCAAGTCACTTCTCTAAATAAGCAAGGAGCTGGATCACAAACCTACCGGTACGTCACCATGTGGAGTGATAACATTAGATAAATCGTTTTAAATTGGGTACATTTTGACAATGATTTTGTCATGGGTAAACAATGAACTGGTTCTCGGTTCACAACAATTCCTGTGAACAATATTGCCATTTACAAACAGAGCCTGAGAGCACAGTACCGGCAGCACAGCACAGCGCAGTACCGGCATTTTGTAATTTGCATACAATTAGTAAATGTAGACGATGGGCCAAGGGCTTTATTTGTTTTACTGGTCCTTCATTTTAACTCCATTGTAAGAAAATCCTGTCAGCTCTACCAGTACTGGACTTTTGAAAAAGAAAGTAGATATCCTTTTAAAACATGGTATTTTACCCTTGCACTTGTATCCTACATCTATGAAGGAACTGTCTACAGGTGTTGTACATTGTAGACGCTATACTACATTTCAACTGGGTTTGGGTAATATCTGTTAAAATTTAAAAGTGGTTATTAGTTGGCTGTAATTTGATTTAAGTGGAATTACTTGATTTAAATTACTTTGATTGTGTAACAAAATTAATAAGGCCAAGTAAAATTTAAAAATTGTTCCTTGGCCCCTTTTTTGGACCTTTTGTACTTACCACACTATCTTTATAATCAAGGGTGAAATTCCTCTGGATATTTCCGGATTTCCAGATTTTTCAAAAATCCAGTGTTAGTTTTGTGGATTTTTTGGTTTAATACTTTTGGTGGATTTATTTACAAAATAATATTTATGCACAACTTGGTGAAGTCTAGTGCAGATGATCAAGAAGTACACAAACTGATGTTACTCCCTCTGAAATACTGTGGTATGCACAATGGGTACATTGGGGTTGTGGTAGTGAAAGTAATGGCAGAATGGGATATATTCTGTAGTTCAACGTGTACAAAAAAACTTTAAAAATTCCCCAACAATCCATTGGAACTGCACTTATTTGACACTTACCTGCCTGTATGACATCCGTGCGAGTCCTTCACTTCTCTGTTCAGACTCCCTTGGTAACTCTCAACATCGCACAGCTGGCGTTGCGCTTTAGTGCACCCATAAGAGTCTGTGCTATGACTGTATGTTTAGGTGTACTCAGTGGAAACAAAGAGTGTGGTGTAAACACAATTTCATTTATCATACGAACATTTTGTTGAACTAAAGATTGCCAGAAATCTCAAATTTCAGCCATTTTGAAGAAACAAAAAATTTAAAGCACCACCTCCTCTTTTAGGAAAAAAAATGGAGGAGAAAGTTTTTGCTACTCGGCCTAAAGGATTAGATAATTAGGCCGATTTGCCTACAGTTAAATAAAAAGTATGCCTTTGTGTGGGAAAAAAATGAACAATCGCCAACCCTGCTGTTAGACTAATGTTAACATTTTAAATTATATTCCAATAAATACATATGAGAAACTGACCAGGTTTCTAATTCCGTAAGAATGCCTTTGGAGGCAAGCACAAGAAGTGCAGTGTCTTGGATAAAAAAAATGCAAGAAAGCACTTGCGATCGATACCTGTAGGTTGACCCATTTAACTACGTGAGGTTGCATTGAAGTGGTTTAACGTGTGGAAAAATACCAAGACCTGGCATAAACACCTTATCGGTCAGAGATCTCTTGGCGCCAAGATTGCAACCTAAAAATAAATCCTCCTATCTCTTTTCCTTACTTTCCATATGTGTGCTTGTGGTAGGTACATGTGCATGTACTGCCTGTAATACATCAACTTAACTGGTTGTGTAATTGGCAGTGGGATATTCAAGAGATAATTAATAAGACTGTAACATTCTTTATTTCAATGAGGTAAATTTTAACCAAATAAGCCCTTAGGTTGTGTAGTTATTCAGATATTTTATGGAAATATTTTAGTTTGTATCTTGCTAGGTTAATTCTGTCAATACAACTTGACTTTTTTTGGGGGGGACTTTGAATCTTGGAAGTACATGTACCAGTATTTATCATATTAATGATCTTCATGGACAGCTTCAGCATTTAGTAAAAGAAAGACAAGAAATAAAATCTGTGTGCATGTTAGTGTGTTGTGTGTGTTCTGTTGTTATTATTTGTGGTTGAATAGATATTGATCATGTTCTCAATTTTCCTAGTGCCTTCTCCTTTGGAAGGTTAGTTTTGGCTGTGGTAAATAAGTTCTATTTTTACCCAAACATTGCCGATCTCCCGACCGGAGTGGCTAGAATTTCAAGGGGGCAATAAGCATATCTGGCCATTTGTCAAAGCTGCCCTTTATAGAAGGGAAGGGGGGGAGCCTTGCTATCCAAAAGGATGCATACTGTATTAAAAAAAAATGCTTAGGGCAAATTTCCAAGTAATTTTTTTCTCCTTTTGAAATCTTAATCTGAAAGCATTTGCACACCTTGGGGCCTTGAATGCTGGTTTCGTAGGAAAAGCAGTGTTCGTCTTTTGGGAGTTGGGTATTTGGGCAAGGATCTAAATGTCCAACATTTTACTTTTTGGGGTTGACCAAAGATGTGTGAAACGGAAGGTGGTACGTTGTATGTACATTGTACATATATGTGCAGCTACCTCCTTTTTCCCCCTTCAATCAAAGCACAAGTCGATGTGGTTTTTTTCCCTTCTTTTTCTTTCTCTCTCTCTCTCTCTCTTCATGTTTGAGAAAGGGTGGGATGGGTTAAAACAGATCATTTAGAAACGGTGATAGATTAGATGTCAACAGGAACTCTTCTCTGTGGATATTAAATTGATTGCCAGCTCTTGCCTTCAAGAGCTTGAAAAATATGACACTGTAATCTTCTAAGAAGGCTTAACTTAAGTCTCATAGTTTAAGAGTGTAATTGAATGTACATGTACATGTTTTTGTGTGTGCATGTACATGTTTTTGTGTAACTCTTGCTTTCAGTGCATTTTGTGCACGGTCATACACACTCCCAATAACATGTGTCTATAAGTTTAGATTTTTTTTTTACAAATATATTGCATCCTATGAGTGATACACCTGCACCTGTAAGTTAAGGCATGAATCCAAATTTCTCTACATGCCTGATCACAAAACCATGTGGAGATTCGAAGTGGGCAGAAATTAGATTCCTTTTGAAACAGGCTTAATATTCATGCCTTGGTATTGTTCCAAATAATGAAATGTTTCTAGAAAATTTACAAATACATATATTTTAATGATGGGACAGTTCCTATTTTACAAGTGCCTATACATATAGTGTGTCAATGCCATAGCTGCTTTTAAATCCTATCCAGTTAGTAACTTAGTGGCTTCACATACATTCCATAACTTTATTGTGTACAAGTTCTTGGAGCTCACATTGTATTGTTTTCCAGTAAGCAAGATATGTGTGGTTTGCACACATTCAATTGCACATTGTTTGTTAGTGTGTGTTATTTCAGTTTGTCTTTCTTTTGATCTCCATCTTTTTCCAGGTCTCTGTGATTTGGACACTGAAGCAGAGCAGTTTGTACCCGACTTCCAGAATGATAATCGTAAGTAAACACTTCAAGACAGTCAAGTTGACGTTTGGAAGGGAAAGGGGGGTTGGGACATGGCACCTTGACTATCAGAAGAGATTTAAGATATGAGAGATGACAGGGAGGGAAGGAAACAAGGGAAGAAAACAAGAGAAATGGCTTATTGAAAATAGTTGAAAGTTGAATTTCATGTTTTTCTGGGGAGAATCTTCCTCCTTTGCCATAAGTGGTTGTGATTGCCACTTTGTGATTTAACTTCAAGCATTACCTTTCCAAAAGTGGTTTTAGTATCTGCCGGGGCCAATTTCATAGAGCTGCTTAAGCACAAAATTTTGCTTGATAAATCAGTTAACCAGCCAAAATTCCATGTGATGTATATTGTTTTGGGATTGTATTTAGCTGTTTTTTGGTTAGCATGACAATCAGAGTTTGAGCTGGTAACCTTTGTTTATTAAGCAAAGTTTTTAGGTTAGATACAGAAATGACCGCCGTAGCATTTGAAAATATAATGTTGTGTCCAGAGATGGTGAAAGTGGGCGTAGATACTGTACATACATTTACATGCCAAGAACCTACTGTACGCATTCAGGTTGTTGGTGCTATCAACATACTGTGCATACGTGTACATTGATACCTGTACATTTGGCAATTCATGTGCATTGAGACATGATAACATGCTATTAAATGACGCTATGCAGATGGGGTACATGTACATGTTGGTCAGCAACAGCTTGGTGATGTTCAACCTGTTTACACAGTGTGTGCTTGGGTGCACATACAGTGCGCGGCTTTTTTTTCTCGTGAAATATTAATGCCTTTGCAGTGGCGGATCCAATTTCTACTTGTCCTCGTCATCGGTGCTAGCGGCACACACATTTATGCACAGTGATCAGGGACTCGTTACCTGTACATGTGCATGGGAATGTTGAGAGTGATGTTCTTGTTTTATGCTTTCACAAGAATTGAGCATGAGTCGTCAGAGCCACATTTCAGTTAGACAAGTGCACCATGTACATGCATGTACATTATATGTGCATGTATATCCGCTTCGTAAGTGTGACGTCACTTCAGTTTGAACCATGCCCACTGCACATAGGATTACATGCATTGATCGCCGTTTACATGGAACCATGGAACCGGACGTTAACGCGCACCTTCAGCGATTGTCCAATGAGAGCCTGTAAATCGTGACATGTCCGCCTTTGTGACGCAGTCACTTACGAACCGGATTGATACCTGTACATTTGGCAATTCATGTGCATTGAGATATGATAGCATGCTATTAAATGACGCTATCCAGATGAGTACATGAACACGTTGGTCAGCAACAGCTTGGTGTACATAAAAGACTCTCCTACAACCCTTAACTTTTTCAACACATACCAGTACATGTAATGCCCATTTCTATGAGGATGTCAAACTGAATGATAACATAAATATGTACCGGTACATCAAAGCAAATAACTTGGTATGCTCTGTCTCGTGCCAACTAAAATGAGAAGTACTGAACAAAAAATTGCTTTTAGCAGGTGATGGCATGTACTTACACTTTTTAGTAGGAATGTTTGTATTCCCGGCACGTTGTAGGTACATAAACATGTGTGCATAATTTATTCAGTAAACTTTTTGAGTCCTTCAGCCAAATTGATGTCTAGACCAAACTAGTAGCTTAAGCTTATGGTGGAAGTGGATGACAGAATGGTATTTTGTTTTAGTTCAAATTTCTGAAATTTGCCCCCAAAAAGATTTGGTCTGATTAATTAATTTGTTGTCTGTTTTAAAAGATAAAATACACACAGCCCTTTTCAAAGCCAGTAGATAAAAAACAAATAAATGATATAAATTATTTAAGACAACAAACAGGGGACAATGGCTTGCCTTTAGTGATCCCTATTACCAGTTTTATCAGTTAATACAATGTAAGATTACATGTACATGTATATTTTTCTGAGTGAAGCAACAAGTTTTTATGGCAAAATATCCTTTGACCTCAGTAGCTAATAGAACAGACCAAGTTGTGCCATGTGGCAGTGAGATGATATCATGCACTAACATAACAATGGCTTTGTCACCAGATGCTGTCCTTAATTTGCATCTGGTGCATTTATGGCCTTTGTGAGGCCACTGATATCTGTTGACCCGTTGGGTGCCCACGACTTGAATGAGATTGGCCCTACACCTCCATCACTCTAAAAACTTCCACATGGGTAGTTCCCTGCCCCAATCTCCATGTCTCTGTAATTTACAAACAGCTATCAATCATGGGCTTGTGACATATGCAATAGAAAAAGAAACTCTAAAAGTGCCACGGTTTCTGCATCCTGTTCCGCTGTGATGCGAAAATTATATATACTTTTTGTGTTTGCTCTTTACAAAGGAGAAAGGAGACTGTGTTGGTTGGCCAGCAGTGAACAATACCATTTCCGTTTGGGTAGACATGTGTGGAAAACGGGTAGCAGGAGTCAAGGAAAAGAGTCATGTGCAAGGAGACAAGTGATAAAACTGAATTCTCACTGCCACTTCTCCCCTCTTCCCTGTCTGTGTGTCTGTCTGTCCATCCTGTTCAACATTTCTCAGAAATAATAAGTGGTTAGCACATGAGTGTACAAGCCCAATTTGGTTACATGTACACGTATTGTGAAAATGTTTGTCACCAAAACAAGGGAAAGCTGAACAGGTCTAACTAATGCTGGCATGCAAGACCTTGGCAAAATGCCTACATTGAGCACTTCTGTTTGTACACATGTCACTACTATCTACTTTCACTGTGTCAGTCAATGATAACAAGAAGATATCACAACCAATACTGGATACTTGTTACATGTCCTTTTCCAAGTCTTCAGTGTCTGGGAGATAGACGATAATATAAATGTAGTAGAAATACATGTAAGTAGGCCTATGTGCTTATGTACATGGAATTACTGCAACATTTATAGTCCTTCACATTAAAAAAATCTTTCAAATACTGATCCTCTGTGCCATTGAGCCTATGTTTCACATTGAAGTTTGAAAATTAGGCTTTAATGACAGCTGGAATATCCCACTATTTTCTTTTGTGAACACTACCACATGTTTGCATTGATTGTACCGGTAGCTTCATCCTTATTTTCATCCCATAGCAAAATGGTTGGCTGACGTAAAAGAAAATCTGAAGAGTATTAAATTGATTCCTTCAATCAGTGGAAATACCTGCACATGCACCTGTATGACAATGTTGATGTGTGTTGTCCACTCTGTCAAATTTGGCCATCTTCTTTGATCAACATTTACACGTGTATTAGAAAATCTTTGAATATTATCCCTCCCACCTCAGCCCTACCACCCCCAAAAATACCCAAGAAAAGAAAGGAACTGGGCATTGACCAAAACCATTCTCAAGAAACCAAAAACAAGTGTGGTACCTAGGGGATGTTCTGCAGGTGCTGTGTCCATGACTTCCCCCTTTGTGAAGTGGAACCTTCTGAAAAGCTGGGTGTTCTGATTGACCAGGTGTAATGAAAAGCTTCCTATTGCCAGTCCAAATGCCCCCAAGGAGGTGCCATTGATGTCAGGCTCGTAAACAAGTCACTAAGTTCCAGGCAAGCAGTCAGGGATCCCCTCATCTTTGCCTTGTCACCAGCCCAGCTGGTACTTGTACCTGCCTTGCAAAAATAAAAACCAGGACCGTGGGACTTGAGGAAAGGCAGTCCTTTACAAGAATGAGGGGAGAGTGGTGATTTGTTGTTTGTGTCTGGGCATGTTGTTTATTGTGTAAAGTGAAGAGCTGAGTTCCTAAGTAGGAGCATAGCTCTATGGAAGGAGGTTATGATGTGACCAACCCAAGTATCCCTGTGAAGGCTACTGGTCTGTACTGTATTATACATGTACATGTACCGCTACATGTACATGTCTCAGTACTTGCTTTCTCTAATACTATAGTTGTGAATATGGAAATATTTATTTCTTATCAGGGCTTTGAGGCATTCTTGATTTCGAGGCAAGCCAAAAAGTTTTGTAATTACAGTGCAGTTATCGTTATTAGTTTGTACTGGTAATTTTATGGCTTGTTCATGTGACACCTTGGAATTCACCATGTATTATGCTGACTTGGTTGGTCACAAGAAATCATGAGGTTATCAGATATGCTAAATGTCAAAAATCACAGGGCTGGGTTGATACTACATCCACATGTACATGGACGTTCTTCATTTGTTATTCCATTCACACATGTACCTTTGTCAATCAAGTTAAAAATCATCAGGACCTCTGGTTAGCATGGTAGTTCTTTCCTCGCGTTCCTCTTGATGCCCAAGGTTCAAGTCCCTCCCAGGTTGACATGTAGATTGGGTTTTCAGTCCTTTCTTGATTTTGTGGGTTTTCCCGGAATAATCATTGGGACTTTTTCTCTCCCTGCTCTGAAACTGAATGCTTTTTTCTTCTCCCCTCGTCCCCCGGGCCCAAGGGAGAACAGGTCATGGGTAACTTAGTCATACTTTTATCAGTAAGTTGGCACTCACAGCAACACACTGTAGGCAGTCACATGCTGGAAAGTGGAGTTTAACCCTAACTCTCCTCAATCCTTCAAAGTCCTCTAGGCATTTTTTGAGGATTTTGGAAGATTGAGGCTGCATGGCAAATTGAATGACTGATTGTGAAGGATGCATTGTCTCAAGGTTGTGGGTTAGACCTTGTGTTGTTTTATTTCCAGCCATGCATAAATTCATGACTCACATTTGTGTGTAAATCCTCCATACTGCTCCAGGATACCATGCACACTGCCTCAACATGATGAGAGGAATTGCCGAGGCATTGAGGCAGAGGGCACCCCTGCCTAGAACAGATTCAAAACAATATTTGGAGGATTTGGGACGATTGAGGCTCTACCCTTTTTTTTCATGGGGGCAGTTAACGGATTTGGAATGATTGAGTGTGTATCCTAGCCAAAAGGGCTGCTGCAGTTAGGGTTAAACTTTGGTACATTCCATGTTCTAAGCTGCATGTACGTGTGTACATGCACATCCACTGACCTTCATGTA